CTAAATCAAGAAAAGCACATGACAAATCACTGAGTTGCGCGCAAACTTACTCTTTTTACTAGGTGTGAATTTCCCAGGAGACAGATGTCATATGGGTCAATTTCACTTGTGAGTTTCTAGTTCTACATTCTCCAGCAGGGAGTAAGTTTAATTTTACCTAAGCCTTGGCTGTAAAATAAATATGAAGTTCAAGATTCCCTCTGCCTCTAGAAAGGTGAATCTGACAGATGCGCAGGAGGAAAGGTGAAGCCCTGGGGTCTGGGGTCAGCCCATCCTGAAAGCATCCAGGCCCAACAACCATCCTCAGTGGTCATCTCTAGTGGGACCCCAATTTCCTCCCATGAGTCACCTGAATCCAAATGACCCTAAAATGCACACGCTCCTCCATGGAGCCTTTTGTATTTAACACAATACTGAATCACCAAGGTCTCAGAGGATGTTTAGATACAGCAGGATGAAGAACCACTTCCAAAGATATTTACGCTAAGGTCATGAATATGAAAGATGAAGAACAACCTGAATTCAGATAAGATTCTTATGGTTTGCAGATCAGTATTTCAATGCCTGGATCAGAACAGCCAAAAGCAAAAACTTCTGCTGGGACCTGGGACCCAGGAGAAACCGCGGCCTCTATCTGATGCGTATCATATTTGTTTTTGTTCCTTTTCCAATAAACCTAGCTACTTGGTATTTTCTCCTGCTTTCCTACCACAGAGTATCATTCAACACCAGGTTTTATCATTGCCTTCAAAAATGACAGTTTCAGAAGACAAACAACAACAGGTGTTTGCTCTGTGAAGAGGCTTTTTATGCTCAAAGGCTAGCACTCTACCACTTGAGCCACAGCTCCACTTCTGGCTTTCTTGTTGGTTAATTGGAGGTAAGAATTTTATGAACTTTCCTGCCCAGGCTGGCTTTCAATCATGATCCTCAGATCTCAGCTTCCTGAGTAGCTGGGATTACAGCTGTGAGCCACTGGTGCTGCACTTTTGTTGTAAACATCCTTCAAGACTGCAGCCAGGCCCTGAGTTCAAGTGTAGAAAGGGGAGAAAGGAACGGAAGGAAGGAATGGAAGGAAGGGCAAGGGAGAAAAAGAGAAAGAAGGAAATGAAGACATGTAAACAAAGGAGAGAAAGAGGATAAAAAAGGGACAAAGGGGAGAGAGAGAAGAGAGGGGAGAAAAGGAAGAAGGAAGGAAGGAAGGAAGGAAGGAAGGAAGGAAGGAAGGAAGGAAGGAAGGAAGGAAGGAAGGGAGTGAGGGAGAGAAGAGTAATGAATGAATGGATGAATGAATGAATAAATAAATGAATCTGGCCTCCTCTCTCCTCAGAAGGCCAGAAACACTCTTTCTGGGCTGTAATTGTTCCTTTCGGTGGCATCCTTGCAGGGGATTTTACTAGGGAAAAAAGAGGATGCAGACATGGGACTGGAAGGCAGAGAGCAGTTATTTTGAGGATAAAGTATCTTGAGTATTCTATACCCAGGCAAATTTGAAAATAAGCAGGTTTCCAATGTGGAAGGATGGGCCAATCTCTGAGGTTATTGAGTAAAGAGTCAACACGAGAAAGTCAATTACACTATTGACAGATACTCTTACAAAGAGATTTCACATCATAATTATATGCAAAGGAACCCAGCAAATACAAGCTGTGTAATGATCAGCTAATAAAAGTAGCACTTCATCTAAGTCAATAACTGTTTCAGAGTTAAGACAAACAAACACGGCCTTTGCCACTCAGCAGAGGTGGGGGGAAATAATCCTTGAAAGACAAATATTTTCACTTAAGGAGAAGTGCTTAGACTCACACAGAAAAACCTGTCACACAAAGGAGAGGAGGAAATTGGTCTTTAGTGGGTGCTAATGAGTCTCCCACTTGCCCTGGGCCTGAGCCCAGTAAGCTGGGGAAGGGGGAAAAACTCCTGTAAACACGACCTGTTGGAGTCTTCGACTTCAGGTGTGCCCTACTGCGTATGTTGTCCTTTTCGGCCCTGGACTGTTTTCCTATCACTGTCTGCTGAATTTAGGTGCAATGGACACGCAAATGAAACTATTAAATTGACAATAAATAGGACAGAGTAAAGCCCACTTTCCATTTCCAACCCTTCATACTGGGATTTAGAACAACACAATCCACCTGCATCGACATTACTTTCATTTTTCTCAGAGTATCTTGGCACCTAGTATCTCTCCTACAAAGACAGTGTGGATCCCACAAGCCACGTGTCCCCAGTCCATAGCCTCGGTGCTGAGCCCTAGACCAGCAGTGTGTCAGTCCTGTGTTTCCCATGGGCCCCTCCTCCCTCCAGGCCAGCAGCCCAGATCCCACTCCCTCGGGGGAAGCTGGAATTTCAGCTCGAGGGCCGACCATTCTACTTCCTTTCCTCACAGCCTCCTCCCCAGGCCTGCAGGTGGTTGCCTCTTCGGTCCTTTCTCGCCATGATATCTTGAGAGCTCCTTAATAAGGATTTTTGTTTTGTAGGTACTGGTACTGGGGCTTGAACTTAAGGCCTTGTGTACTTTACTTAATTATTGGCTTTTTTACTCAAGGCTAGTGCTCTAATACTTGAGCTACACTTTCACTTCTGGTTTTAAAACTGATTTTTTTTTTTTTTTGGTTGGTTGCAGGGCTTGAATCTCAAGGCCTGGGCGCAGCCCTTGAGCTTTTTTTTTCCTGCTCAAGGCTAGTGCTCTATCACTTTAAGCCAAAAATCCACTTCCAGTTTTTAGGTGATTAATTGCAGATGAGAGTCTCACAGACTTTCTGGCCCAGGCAAGCCTCAAACTGTGATCCTCAGATCTCAGCCTCCAGAAGCTAAGATTATAGGCATGAGCCACCAGCACTGGCTCTTGTTTCTTTTTTTTTTTTGGCTCATGGACTTTTCTCTCCAGTTTGACTGTGACTTGTAATCCTCAGATCTCCAGCTAGGATTACAGGCATGAGCCACTGGTGCCTGCCCCGCTGATTTAACAGTTCTTTACCTGAATGTCTCTCAGTTTAGATCCTGGCATGGTCTGTGTCACCTGATGAGGCCTGAGTGGACATTGTGAAGGGATCTTTTACTTTGGAAGGAGTTAATGTGTATATGAGCACATTCCTGGAATCTCACCAGAGCACCTATCAGTACTTGAATATTGTCTGTAGCACAGGCTGAGCTGTAACACTTGCCGTAATATATACCGGGAGGGCAGCGATGAAGAGAGGAGGGAGTTCCCACTGAGGGCCAACCTGGTGTCCACCTGGCTCCTCATCTGTGTCCTTCTGGAAGGACTGTGCTTGAAGGCACGCCAAGAATGGGCACACTATCCTGCACGTCTATATTTAGAAACTGCTAATGAAAACACATTGTGGCTCCCAGCAAGAAAAGAAAAAAACAAAAAACCCCACAAAACCCAACAAACAAAAACCATCTACAGCCTCAAAATCTTCCCAACCAACAAGGTGACCGGGAGGTGAGGCAGGGAGCATGTGAGAAGGAAGGGAAGCGGAATCCGCCTCTCACAGCGGGAGGCGGGGGCAGTGGTTTGGCTCCATGGTAGAGTTTGACCATGCACAAGCTCACGAATGGTTGATCTGAAGGTGACCAGGCAAGATTATAAAAATCTAAAAAAAAAAAGACCCTTCCTATCTATTTCCTGATGCTTCTCCCTATCAGGTTAGTTGAGATGATATGTCATTTCATGATGTCTCACCACTCTAATTCCTACCAACTTCCCTCATTAGCTGGTCCCAGACACAAGATAAAGCAGGTTCCCTCTTGAAAGGTTTTTTCTTTTTCTTTTTTGAGTCACTCAAGAGAGTCTGACCCTACATCTCCCTTGCGCTTAGCAGACAGACAGTCTGGGAGAGTTTCCTTTCGGCTGTGAACACAATGAAAAAGCAAAATGGCCTTCAGGTGCGAACGCGACCCCTGAGTGAAGAAGAAAGGCTGGAGTGACATGGGGTGACACACACAGAGGTGCAGCGCGGGACACCAGCCTGTGTCGGGCAGGCACCCATCAGCCAAGGGAGACCAAGTCCCACCCCAACCACAGCACTGAGGACAGACAGGAAACAAATACACACAGCACCAAAGGACCACAAGGGAAACGTGGGCCAGCCACTTCCAGAAATGTACTGGGAGAGAAGTCTATCCATCAAAACCACGATGGGAAATATTAGAGATGTTCATCAAATGATTTGGCTCAAGGAGAAGGGAAGATTGGAAATCACAGAGAATACTTTGGCATAGCCACAGAGGCAGGCAGTAGATGGATAGGAAGAAGGAGAGGAGGCAGCCTTATGGCATAGGTTGGATCTAAGTTAGCAGTGGAGCTGAATCTGGGGCTTGCAGTGGAGAGGAGGGGGAGGAGGAGGGGGAAGGGAAAAAGGGAGAGAAGAAGGGAGGGGGAGGGGAGGGGGAAGAGATGGAGGGGAAAGAGGAAGAAGAGGAATCCCTCAAGGCAGAGAGATGGAGGGGAAAGAGGAAGAAGAGAAATCCCTCCAGGCAGGTCATGCGGCCGATCTGACTCTCCACAGCAGTGGTATGATGTCACCGCGTCTCTACAGCACCTGGTGGAGCAGGTTGCTTGTGTGCACCTGCCTCTCGTGGCAACCCCTCCTCAGAGACAGAGACGATTCACAGATGGGGAGCCATGTGGTACTTCTCCAGAATCTGCACGGGTCAGACCCCAGCACACAGTCACAGTCAGGGAATGACAGCGCTTGGTGAGAATCTAATTAACAACCCACACGCCCTTTCCTATACCCACCACACCAGGCCTCATAACGATGACGACGACGATGATGATGATGATGATAATGATAAAACAACCTCACTTCACTTGTTCCCGTCGCCTCATCAGCAAAGAACCAGGGTGAGTTGTTGGCTGATGGGGATTGGGGATGTTGGGGGTTGTCCTGACTTGGTTGTGCACCCAAGTTTTTTCTTCACTGGCTAATAAACTGGTCCTCTCCATCCTCTTAAAGGGCCCCATAAGTCAAGGCGAGCTCCTCTCTTACCTCATGGCTGCCGTTATTCCAATAGGCGTGATTGGCAATGGCCGGACGCCAGGAAACAGTCCTCGGCTCAGAACCCGCGCTCCGTTCTGTATCACTCCCGGAGGAACTGAAAAGCACAGGGAGAGAGAAAGATGCCACATGTGAGGCCAACGGGAAAGATTTCCATTCTAAGTCAAAAAGTTTGGGTAAGGGAGAGATGAAAAGGAGGAGGGAGGGAGGAGGAGTGGGGAAGAAGGGAGAGGGAGAAGGAGGAGGGAAGAGAGAGAGAGAGAGGGAGAGAGAGGGAGGGAGGGAGGGAGAGAGAGGGAGAGAGAGAGCGTGCATGTGTGTATACACCTGCACCCACACATGAGGAGAAAGAACAAAAGAACCAGACAGAAAGAGAGATGACTGGTCAGCAAAGTCAGACCAGACCAATAGCTTCCAATCACTAACTTCAACCATTATTTCCTTACCCTTCTTAGTTCTGGTCAGATCCTGCGTAAGTCTGAAACACAGCAAGCCAGTGGACTACAAAGAACCCAACAACCCAATATCATGCTTCTCCTGTACTGGACAGCATTGGACAATACTAGCGCACTTGTCCTTCATCTAGCAAGGGAAAAAACTCAGCCAAAAGTGGCAACAAGGCACTGCTGGGCCTCTCGTTAGGGTCAGTGGGAGGAGGTTTGCCAGCCAGGCCCACGGTCACACAGGGAAGGCTTTGGAGAGCCACAAATTCCTTCTGCCCCACGGAGTCCCCTCCACCATGCCCATCTTCTTTGGAACACACTCGTTCCTGAGGCAAATTTAGCTCCTACCAACTTGTCACCAACACCTGTCAGATCCTGTCCTTTTTTTTTTTTTGTGCAAACTCTGTGGCTTTCCACCAACCCACCAATCCCATTTTGTCTGAGGCTTCACAGAAAGGAAGCTGCAGGAAATCCTTGCCATTGGAAATTCTTGCTATTCTTTTTTAGACTGCCCAAATGGCAATTTTATCTGGCTCAAGTCAATGGTGTCCTCCTGTAGCATCCGCCAACACCCTCCATGGGTCGGGAGGCCAGGCCAGTACTATGAAGTCAGAGCACAGATCCTAGATCTTGTGTGACTTTGAGCAAGTCTTGGAATGTGTTTCTTTCTCTGAGCTGTGCTCTTCCAAGATTCCATCTGATCCCCAGCCCTGGAATAATCTCACAAAGAAGGAAGCTAAACAAAGGGTACTATTTCACACAAAGTCTGCTAAAAAAGTATACATTCAAGCTGGGCTCGAATGGCTGATGCCTGTGATCAATTCTAGCTATTCAGGCGGCTTGAGTATGAGGATTGTGATTCAAAGGCAGCCCGAGTAGACAAAATGGGAGACTCTTCATTCCAACTAAGCATCAAACAGCAGGGAAGTAGAGTGTGTTTCAAGTGGTAGAGTGATTGAAAAAGTTAAGAAAGCACCAGGCCTTGAGCTCAAGCCCCAATACTGGTGCATGCATGCACATACACACTCAAAAATAACACCCAGCTGGGCACTAGTGGTTAATGCATGTAATCTTAACTACCCAGGAAGCTGAGAGCTGAGATATGAAGCCAGTCAGGGCAGCAAGTCCATGGGACTTTTTTTTTTTTTGGAGGTGTGTGTGTGGGGGGGGTTGGTCATGGGGCCTAAACTCTGTCCCTCAGCTCTTCAGCTCAAGGCTAGCGCTCTACCATTTGAGCCACAGTGCCACTTCTTGTCTCTGAGCTTTTTAATGCTAGTGTTCTACCACTTGAGTCACAGCACTAATTCTGGATTTTTCTGAGTAGTTTATTGGAAATAAAAGTGTCGTAGATTTTGCTGCCCTGGCTGGCTTCAAACTGCAATCCTCAGATCTCAGCTTCCTGAGTAGTCAGGATTACAGTCTGAGCCACTGGCCCCTGGCTTCAGGAGATTCTTATTTCCAATAACCTTCAAAAAAAGCTGGAAGTGGATCGATGGCTCAAGTGGCAGTGTGTTAGCCTTGAGTAAAAGAAACAGTGTGTCCAGGACTAGCACAAACACACAAAAATACCTAAAACCAGTCCGCAGACTGAGTTTTTAAAGCCAGTATTATTCATGTACATTTTTCCAAAACAAATTACCTAAATATATGTTTTATTCATCTAATTTTTAGAGCTCTAAAAAGAATGTGCATTCATAAATATTCCAAAGCTTTAATTGGGTTATATATCTATCCTATATATATATATATATATATATATATATATATAGGACGGTTTTAAGAGTGTCAATTCCTTGAGCCTTCTGTACCTCTTGCTAAAACAATTTGGCTGTTTTGGTTTTTTTTAAAAACCAGGTTTGTGTGAGGCCCTTCTAACTAGATCTTACAAAAGCACGGATGGTTGATAACTGAAACTCTTGTTTAAGTCTACTCACTATGCAACATTCTAGAATTTCCCAACTGTACAGTAAAGAGAATGCCAGATTGAGCCAATATTTTAAAAGACTAGTGTGGCAGGTAAGGAGTTACAGTTTACTGTGTGGCAAAACTAGAGGTGTAAAACTTCTAGGAAAAATACAGGAGGAAAATGCAGAAGAGAATTCATGTTTGCAGATGACTGTTTTCAGTCTTCGGAGATGGGTATTTGGTTTCTGTGTTCGGGGAACTGTGGCAGAAGGCATCAACCATTGTGTTGTATGATACTCTCCTAGACATGGTCAGCTCACTGTGAGCTGGGATCTCAGGAAGAACAGCAAAGAATCTGATACAGCATGCTGTGCAGATCAACAACTGGTTAAAAAATCAAAGTCACAGATCCAATCTTCGTCAGCAAAAAAGATCCTTATCCCCATTAATTTTATTGAGAACTTCTACTAAATATCTTCCAGTGTAGGTGGTGAGGACATAGGGTAAGTACAAATAAGCAGTGGTAGACAGGGAGACTACAGGCATCAGATGGAGATACCTAACTCAAGCTAATAGGTATAATAGGTATTCAAGCTAATACTCCTGTAGGAAGTGTTGTCTCTGTTGGAATTCAAAGGCAGAAAGCAGTACATACAAATACTCAGAAGTGATCTGGTTTTGTGTGTGTGTGTGTGTGTGTGTGTGTGCGCGTGCGCCTGTCTGCCGGTTCTGTCTTTTTTTGACCTGTGCCGGACCAACCTAGTCCTGCATCGTCCCTCCTCCAAACCCCCCCTCCCCCGTGTCAGTTAACTACCAGTTGGATTCCTGGAGCAAGGATCTCAACCCCTCAAATATGGTGGGAACAAAACTGATGATTGAACTGAGTTAACAGAGGCATTTCTAGTTAGCAGATACCTGATGCTTATCACTAACACTGTGCCCTCTTGATTTTAGGGGGAATGAAAACCCCTCTGAAACAGCCTGAGACAGAAGCCAGACCAAGATGGAAGAACTCAGCCATCTTCCTGGTGACAGAGAAGCTGGGAAGAGTAACGGCCATGTTTATGATACTTCTGCTCCCCTGTGAAATCATGTCAGAGACAACATCCCTGAAAAGCGGACATCCCAACATCTAAAACTAGACATAGACGAGGGAGCCAGCCCTACAACAGGAATAGAATAAGTAGAAGACACGGAACACATGAGCCGAACTTGGCACGGCCATAAGTCATTTGCCTATGAGAAGAAAAGCAGCTCGAAGACAGAGCCCCATGAATGTGGTCAAAGGGGCAACTCAACGGGAAAGGAAACACAAAGGAGACCAACCCGCACCAAGCATCTACTGGGGAGACCAGAGGCTGGGGGTGCTCCTGTGTCACACAGCCCTTCCTGGAGATGGTCTGAGGTGTCCCAGACAGCATGGGAACTCTGGGATAGTTACCTTAGCCTTCCCCTGCCTGTTTCTTTACCAATGGAAGCAGGCAGAGAAACATCCCTCACAGGACTGTTCTGAGGGTTAAATATGGCAGGCAACAGAAATTGCTTAGCTCAGTGGCTTGACCATGATTGTTCCCCCTCTCCCTCCTCATCACTAGCATCACCATCATCATCCTACATCACCCCAAGCTAATGATCTCTAAGGAGATATTATTATGAATTATGCGTTTTGTTAGACCTAACTTTTGAGTTCCCCCATTAAAACATCTCCCTGATTCATGAATTCTACTCACTTCAAAGGGGAACTCGCAGACACTACAGCATTACCCGCTTTCCGAGCTATTTCCCGAACCCACAAGACTTCTGGCATGTAAGCTGCCTCATTCTCTGGATCCTGGAGCCTGTTCTCAAATGAGCTTCACTGAGCACCTTCTCTGCCAATCCTGGCATCTCTCAGTCCCTCTCATTGGCAGTGGACTCCATGTTGAGATGGCAGATGTGTTTGCGTCTGCTCACTGGCTGCCAGAAGCCAGCTATGACACTTCACTGTTCCCCCATCTCTTCTCCTTTCTGGAAAACAGCACAGCCAGTCTACAATGGTTCTGTCCAAGAAGGTCATACTACAAGCCACCGCTTGCTACTTTTTGACTATGGGATCCAGTAGCAATATGAATACATTCTTCTGTTGTTTGTTTAATTAGCACATCTACAACCTTCCCTCTCTCTCAATCTACTTCCCTCAAAGTGTAACTTTCCCAGGTAAAGAGCAATTCAACTCACCCAACATACTGGGATGTTAGCCTGGGTTCCAGCTAGGTCAAAGACCTAGGAAAGCCAATGTCTGAAATCAACTTCTAGCTGACTGTTGTTCTTGGTGGAAGAGGCTCAGGCTTCTAGGGCCTTCTTATCTTCCTTCCTTCCCTCCTCGCCCGTCCGTCCATCCATCATTTTGTGTCAATAATGGGGTGAGCCACAGCTTATTTCTGGCTCTTTGGTAGTTAACTGGAGATAACTTTCCTGGGCTGGTTTTGATCTTATCCTCCTGAATAAATAGGATTATAGGCATGAGCCACCAGTCCCCATACCACCCTTTCTTGTAGACTTGGTTAACGCATCTTTTAGAGGCAAGAAGACACAGATCTAGGGTCTGTGGATGCTGGGATAAAGTGTCATGAACATCAGCACCGAAGAACTCAATACTTGCTGGCCGACCATGCGCTCTGCAGCTAGAGAACCACTAAACTTTCTGACAGTGGCGAGAACACAACATTCACATAGTACTGAAACAGCTAAATCACTGCAGAAGCTGTGATCTGAGGTGACCATGCAATCTTGGGAATTGTAACTGAACAAACAAACAGGTAAGACACCAAACTTCACAGCACACTACGTCATCCTTCAGCCCTTCCTCAGTTTTCTTGGTGTGTATGCAACATCTTTGATTCCCGCTCCCTCTCCCCCCAACTTCTAAGATTAACCTGTGGGGAGCTCCAAGGGCCATCTCTGGAGGGCAGCCCTGGCCACCTCCCACAGGCCATACGCCGAGCTGCAGGTGATCCTATAATCCTTTCCTTCCCCAAAGGCGCTCTTTACCACCTGCCTGCTTGGAAGCAGGCTAGGGAGAGGGTTGGCACTGCAGGCCCTGAGTACTTTTCTTCAGTTGTGCTTGCCATGACTGACCTATACCTGGGTTCCAGGCACAACTTCCCCTTCCCTCCTCCCCCTTTCCACAGTCCAGTCAGCTGCTTTGTTTATTATCTAGAGTTCATCTCTGGAACATTCCCACCAGGGATTATATAAGCCCTTTGAAGATGAGTAATAGTGATCTGGCTCTCCTGACTTAATCATAATTCCTCCACAGGGGTTAAAGATGACTCACAAGGCTTGTCGAGGAGGAGGAGGTGCGGTGCAGGTGTGGGAGGGGCTTCCGGAAGCTGCCATGAATCTCCCCACAGCCTCTCTTGCTGCAGGGAGGGTGGGAGAGGTTTTGACTTTCAAAGGTTTTGACTTTCAAAGTTAGAAAAACAGCAAGCTAGCCATGTCCGGGATGATTACCCTAAAGTAGCATCCTGAGCACGTGAGGCATTGGATCTCCTTACAGAATACAACTCGTGCTACACACTGGCAAAGTCTGAGAAAGCGAATGTTACCTGCACCCCGGGAGCCGGGGGGCAGACAAACTGCTGGAACCGAGGTTTTGATCAGCCTCATCCGCTGGCTTGTTGGAAGTGAAACATCAGACTGAAATGAGAGGTTGGAGGGGTCCATTGGGATCCAGCCCAAGTAAGAAAGGGTAGGGCAGGGGGTGGGCTGGGGAGGGGTTTTCCAGGGCAGTTCACACCCCTTAGACAGAAAGAAGCTTACGTTTCTCTAGTGTCTTGAGCGGTTTCTTTTGTACAATCGACTCAGCCTCAGATCCTGGATGGTGGCCAGTCTTGCCAGCCTTGAGCTAGCACTGCAGATGCTGAGCACGAGAAGGAGGAGAAAGCTCTGAGGGGCTGCCATCTGGTGACCTAAAGTGGAGTAGCTTTAAAGGGCAATGACAAAGGAGAAACCGGGGCCAGCCTGGAACTGTTCGGAGTGAACAGTGAAGAGGGGATGATGTTGGTAGCTTCTGCTCAGACAGGGCCATCAAAGGGCCCAGAGGTGAAAACACAGGGCTATAAATAGCACCCCACGAGGAGGCTCAATAAACAGAGCCCAGCCACAGCATATGTCTCCGGAGAATGCAGAGAGGAAACACTCTTAGCTCTCACAAGTCACTCTGGACAAGGTCTGCATCCAAACACACTGGGGCATGTGCCTCAAACACGGGCCTATCTGTCCACACTGCCACCCTACACCACAACGACCGCCCTGCAACCTGCCCCAGCTACTCTTAGCCTGACGGTTGGCAGATCATATTTTTGAACCACACCTCCCATTTTTGGTGCTCCAGACCCTGCTGTCAGGGTAACTGCCTCTGCTCTCAAGACCAGAAGCACTGGGGAATGGAAATGGAAACCAAAGGTGGGGGTGTGGTAGGCAGGGAAGCAAGAAGTTAGGAGGATGGAACTAAAAGCAGCGGCTGACTGTTGGACATGGTTCCTCCTCTGGCTGGGCCTATTAGAAGGTTAAAGATCAGACGCCTGGCTTTATAAATGCAAAGAAAACACATTTGAGATATCTTCACTTCCTTTCCCAATCTGCTCATTGCCCATGCTTACACTTGACCTCCAAAGGATTGTACCAGGCTGGAGGTCAGACGGGCAGATGAATATGAATTCTTGTTCCTATCATCTCCAGCTTTCACCTTGGCTGCACCCGTCCTCAACTGACATTAGCAGCCATCCTGGTTCTTTCTTCCTGGGGCCCTTAGGGATCATCTACTTTCAATGTAAATTAGAACTATGGATGTCTTAGAAAGAGACTGATTTACCATTGGATGGAGAAGGGAAAGGTTTAACTACTTGTAAGAGTTCAACTGTAGTCAAGAGTCCAATGAGAGGCTGGGTGTTGGGCGGCTCATGCCTGTAATCCTAGCTACTCAGGAGGCTGAGATCTCAGGATCGTGGTTTGAAGCCAGTCTGGGCAGAAAAGTCTCCGTGAGACTCTGATCTCCAATTAATCACTCAAAAACCGGAAGTGGTACTATGGCTCAGAGTGGTAGAGTGCTAGCCTTGAAAAAAGAGCTCAGAGACAGTGCCCGGGCCCTGAGTTCAAACCTGATAACCACCACCAACAACAAAGAATCCAGTGAGAAAGGGTCTCTCGGATGTGCTGAGGTTCTGTGCATACCTGCTAATACGGGTGCTGCAACTTAGGCCTGGGTACTCAAGGCTGGTACTCTACCACCTGAGCAGTAGCGGTACTTCTGGCTTTCAACAGTGATCTTCAAGATCTCAGCTTTCTGAACAGCTGGGGATTATAGACCGGTGTCCAGCTTGGAGGTAGGTTTGGAATGTATGTTTTCCCCCTGAAACCTAAGATGAGTATTTCAGAGCCACATTCCAGCTTACCTGCCAATTATCAAAGGATGTCTGTTACACATCTGCTTAGCACTGGTGTTTGCTGGGCAGCCTAATACTCTAAATGCTGTGAATCTGAGGTTAGCATAGGGAGAATGAGAATTGTACAGTTAGAGGCATGTAAGAGCAGCCAGGCAGCTCCCTGAGAATGCTTGGCTGTATTACTTGGCTCTTTGAAAAGAGGAACAAAGAAGTGAAAAATGGAGTCAAGTTTCCTAATGCTGTCAGGACAGGCTGGGACAAGTGCAGGGCTATGGAGGCCGCTCTGATTTCTGGACTCATTCACGGGGACACCTGTTGTGGTCTGAGGACAGGTATTTGTTTTTCTGTGGGAAATATTATTATCTCCACGAGTGGGTGTGGGAGGATTCTTGCTGCCAAGAAGGCCATAAGGCCTTCAGGCAGCCAGCGTCCATAGAAATGAGACAGGTGGGAAAGTCCCCTAGCAGGGTCACGGTGTTGTCTGCCGAAGTGTTTCATCCGTAAGAAGCTGTGATGGAACAGTGTCCCAATGAGACACTGAGCAGACCCCGGTATATCAGCTGTTCATCTACTCAATGGGATTCTGGCTTACTGTGGGATAGGAACAAGGCATCAGCCACCAGTTGAGAGGTCCAAAGGGCAGATGCCTTGGCTGAAGGTTGCTTTTTTTTTATCCCTTGGGAAGGAGACCTTCCTAAAAGCTGCCCGGATGTGAAGAACCATGAGGTGGTGGACAAAAGTAAAGTCCAAAGGAGGAAAGAGTTGTGTCATACTTGATGTTGGCTCAATGGCCAATAGAAGATGAAGACAGAAACCCTGCTTAGCTAAACCAGCCCTGCCTTTATCTCTGATCAGCCTAGAAGGCTACAGAGAGATGGTACAAGGAGCTATCAGGGCTCCATTTTAAGGCTAGCCTAGGGTAAGCCAGACTTTCCAAAATGGGAGCCCAGAAAGCAAAGAACGTTCTAAAAATGCCTACTGTTTAGCTCCAACATGGTTCAGCAGGCCCCATGGAACCTCCCTTACAAACTCATAGCAAGGATTCCTACAGAAGAAAGGAAGCTTGTTTCCACTGGGAATCCTTATGAAGTCTGATTCTCTTCCTCTAGTCATAAACCCTGACCTCTTACTAGCCATCTACTCAGCAGCACACTGATGCACTCATTCATACATATGCATGGCTCCATGTTTCCATGCATATGCATGCAATCATGCACTTATATAATTTTTTTTTCGAGTGATGCTTACATGGGGAGGTTTAATTTGGCATTAGTTCTTCCTGTGGCCTGGGATGTAAGTGAGAAGGTTAAGTTCACAAACTATGGTGCTGTAGGCTAGAGAAATATCTACTCACAACCTGCTTGTATCTCAGGGGGAGTATTCAAAAGCATCATGGCACTGGCAGCATCAATGTCAGGATCTGGAAAAATCAACCAATAAATAACATTATTTACAACAGGGCTGGTGTGTGTGTGTGTGTGTGTGTGTGTGTGCGTGCGTGCGTGCGTGTGTGTGTGTGTGTGTGTGATTCCCCCTGCAAATTAAGTTAATGAATGTTGATAGAAAAAAACAAGAAGGAAATCCAGGCTCTAGATGAGCTATCCCAAAGATGATTAAAAACAAAACAAAACAAGAAACAATTTAGATTTGAGAGAAGGAAAAGGTATTCTAAAGTGAAAAAAAATTGGAGATAAGAAACTCATAGGCTTTTCTGTCCAGGCTGGCTTTGAACCTCTACCCTTAGATATCAGCCTCCTGAGTATAAGATTACAGGGGTGAGTCACCAGTGCAGGCTTAGAGTGAGATTTAAGAAGCAGGTTTTAATCAGTTGAGCACAGTCATGATGTTAATGTTGTAATTTGTGTTGTATGTTTCTGGTAAGCTGCCCATCTCTGGAGCTCCTCAGCTTTGACCTTGGAATGGAGGAGTAGGAGAGAGGGCTGGCAGTCATGGGCCGCAGCAATCTTTAACAAACTGGGGGAAGGCTGACAGCATCAAGAGGAAAAAGCATTAGATATACCTGCATCCGGAAACAAGACTTTAGTTAGCTCCTCTGGTCACCAAAATGTGAACCGCATTTTACAAGGTGATGTGTGTTTACAGTGAGGGTAGAGGTGGTAAAGGCATAGGAAAAAAACCCCACTAAAAATACAAAGGAAAAAAATTAAAGTTCTGAGAAGGAGGGCACAGCAGTTGCTTCTACATCTAGTACTGATTTTTAATCTTAAGTCAAAAAAGAAAAAAAAAATCCCCCCCCCACTCATCACTTTATTGCTATAATTCTTAATGAGTTTCTAAACCCTTACCGATCTACCAGTTGACAGATGGCAGGTTATATAGAGACAGAAAAAAAATATTATCCTTTTATAACTAAATTCATTTTCCTCTGAGAAACAGCAGCGCTGCTGCTATGGAAATGAAGGTCACCATGGCAACAGTAAACAACCCCCAAGAATGGTCACTGAATAGGCTGAAAAGAACATCTGTCCCAGCCCAGCGGCCCAGCTGCCCTGGGGCGAAATTCACTAATAGTGTCGTGATGCCCCGTGACAGAAGCTGCCGCCTGTGCCCTGTCCAAATAAATGAAGTGTGCAAGTGAAATCGACATCAAAATGCCTGCCCTTGCAGCTTACAGTCTCCCTGTCCGCTAAGCCCAGCGACTAATGATGGGGAGTGTGTGTGTGAGTGTGTGTGTGTGTGTGTAGGGGGGGGGATTCATGCTTGTCAGTTTTTGTACAAATTACATACCAAAAAATTCAGTTTACTACTAATGGCTCCATGGCACTTTATTTTGGGTATTATGAGAGAAAATGACTCCCCCCCTCACCCCTTTTACTGTTTTTTAAAAAACTGCATTTTTCATACTTTATCTGTGTAGTTTAATTCCAAGGGAGTAATGTGATAATATAATATAAAGCCATGTGAGCCATTAATGATATGGATGATGCTGGTTTCAGAAGACAATGCCTCCAAAAAAAAAAAAAAAAAAAAAAAAGGAACCCGGCAGGCCCCCCCCCCCCCCCGCTTCCCTCCGTATTCTGTCTGCTGGAGAAGCCTGTTACTTACACTTCCTGATGGAGTACAAGCTTATTTTAATACGTGCATTGCATACGAGAAATGGGCAGATTCACTTATTTGGCGACTCCTAGGGTGAAATGTCTAAAAGTTGTGTGTGTGTGTGTGTGTGTGTGTGTGTGTGTGTCTCTCTCTCTCACATACACACACAATATGATAAATGAATAACTGAAAAGCCTAAAGCTCACGTCACTGGTCCTGAAGTTCCTCTAGGTTCTCACCCCTAGAGCTTGGCCTCCTTACAGGGCATTATTATTATTATTATTATCATTATTATTGCCATGAGGGACAAGCGCTGAAGCTTCTCCTCCCCCCTCTGTGTGGAATGACCTTTGCTCTTCTTCACACCATGCAAAGGTCCATTCCCATCTTTGAGAATACAAATACGACAGGTGTATACTGGCAAAAAAAAAAAAAAAAGTTCTGTGTTCTTTAAAACAAACAAAAACAGAAGTCAGGAAGATGTCCATGTGCCAGTAAAATCAAAGCAAACAGGAGACCCTCAGACATAAAAACAAAAACTCTACTAACATGCATACAAATTTCTTGGGGAGCACTTTAGTCTCAGCTGACCCCCTCACAAGGCCCATCCCCTCCCCCCGCCCCCAAGCCGATGCAGAACAAGTTTAATGAGCTATTCATGCTTCCTTACACCTGGATGTGCCACGTCTGCTGCCTCGACAGATACAAATGCAGACGCCATCCTGGAATGCCCAGTGCCTCTAGGCATTCTGGGTAGTGTAACAGGTAGGGCATTCACTGGAGTATGTAATAGGTTCTTCCAGCCTTACCTCTGCTCTGAGAAGACCAGGTCCTATAGTAGCTCTCAACAGAGAACGGAATGGAGGGCAGCTCATAGGATTCACTCCTCTGGCAACTCACTGGGTAAACCAAAGAACTGCAAGTGACGATACTAGCCCTTCCCTGAGGTATGGCATCCTACAAAAATAAATGCTGCCGAAGAACTTACATGTAATAAAGACGCACATTTTAAGGGTAGAGTTTGCTGAAGTCTGACAAATCTTACAATCCTGTTACATGACTCAAAATCAAGATGAACAAAATAACAAGAGCACACTTCCATCACTCCCAAGTTTCCAGGTATCCCACTGACAAATAGTACCTCTCCAGGAAATGTATTTAATGTGCATGCAGCCCAAGATACCAGTTTTCTTTTATAGTTTAAGGACCTTTGTGTCCTAATAAAAAATATTGCAAAGATTTATTTGTTTTGCTAAATGGCATTTTGTTTTATTTGCTAGTATGTCAAATAGAATGTGATCTAGATCCACTGCCCACATTCACAGGAAAAGGAACATGGAAATAATCAACCAGACCTCCTCCTGTATCCAATAAGCTATGTAAGCGCAGACTAACTGGAATGGTACTGATCAATATCACAAGGACTTATGTTGGCTTCTAGGTTGAACAGGAGTAGCCCAAGAGAAAAGCCTTTGTCGCACACATCTCCAGGAAGGTCCTGGACTCTGCTAGAATGTCTGCTATGCTTTTACCCTTGCCACACACTGATACCCAGCATGTACTTCAGTTTTCAGAGCCCACAGTCTCCCATAAACCTCCAAAGAGAAGAGTTGCTACAATCCTTACGCTAATATTCAACGGTTTAAGTTTCCCCTCTCCCCTTCTGAACAATCAGAAAGTAATGCCTGTAGCATTAAGATATACATAATTGAGAAACACAAGCCTCTTCACAGACTCCCTTTCCATGTACATATGTCCAGAAATTATGTTTAAATATAAACATTTGCACATATTCATCCAAACACTGACACACAGCTACTCTCAGTTTAGGTTTATGGTACTCGGCTCTTTCTTTAGCGCTGTCTTTTGCCTTCTGGGGTTTCAGTTACCCACAGTCTAAAAAATAGAAGCAGACAATTCCAGACATAATTCATAATTTAACATACTGTTATAATTAATCTATTTTATCGTGTGTTTTTGCTATTCATCTCTTGCTGTGCCCAATTTAAAAATTAAATGTTATCATAGACAGGTACATGAAATACTACATGTTAGTAAAATTTATAAAATTCAGATATATAGGATCTTTGGTTTCAGGTATGGACTGGAGACCTTGGTCTCTCTCTCTCCCGCTGGTAAGGTAGGGTGATTCTTTTTTTTTTTTTTTGGGTCGGTCATGGGGCTTGAACTCTGGGCTTGGGAACAGAAGGTAGGGTGACTCTTGTGTATGCAAAACAGCTTTCTGCAACTTTAAAATCTTTTTGCTTGACAACACATCTTAGCACCTATTCATATTAGTATATGTTATTTAAAATTCTACAGTGAGTTTTTGTGGATAAAAACATACCTCATTTGTACTGGAGTGAGGCAGAGGGGTGTAGGAGAATAAAATAATATACTTATTTATTTTGGGGTCAGGGATTTTTTTTTTTACAGTACCAAACTTAGCATCCCACTAAGGGAACCCAAATCATCCATACACTGGGAACGTCACATGACATGCCACCATAGGTAGAATTGTGACCACCATCACCACAGTGTCTAAGATCAAATTCTCCTTTGCTCATGTGTCAACAACATGTCACCCATTCCCAGGGATCATTGCACTTTTCGTCTTTAATGCCACTGTCTTATCACATTGCCTCTTTTCTGAAGTGCAAGACTGAGAAACAGCCATACATCCCAAAGATGTTTTCAAACCCTATCCTCTTGCATGCACATCAATAACAACATTATGTTTCAGTGGGAGAAATGGGTAACCAAGTTTTCAGAATCAAGGTGCAGCTATTTGGTTCTTCCCTCCCCTGGCCCCCTCCCCCCACATCATGTGGTGTTCCTTTTGGAAATGGAAGTAGGGTACAGAGAGGATGGGGAAAAGCACTAGACTAGGCACGAGACCTTAGGGTTCAACTTCTGGATCTGACACTAATTAACCGAGACTTTGATATTGCTGAATCTCATTTCACTCATTTTAAAATGGTGGTTGTCACCAAACTTGAGAGGAGCTACTTTGGTTTAATCCTCATTGCAGTGGACTTGTTAAAAAAAAAAAAGTGAGCACCATCTTTGGCTCTACGTTGACCAACTCACCAAAACTGACTGTGTGGAAAGCCAGAACACTATTACTTGACTTTCAGAATTCCTTTCCATTTCTTTCTCCCTCCTTCCTTTCCCCCCTCCCTCTTCCTCTCCATCTCTACCTCTTCCTTCCTTTTTATACCTGAAGTGCTTTATAGTATGATAAAGGCCATTATGCAGCTGCATAAAGTCAAATTTTAAAAAATGTTTAAAAATACACGAAGACAATGCTGACAAACACTGAGACAGAAATGACTGGACTTACCCAATCAGAAGTACACACTA